ACTGAGAACACTCAGGTGGGGAGGAGGTCAGCTGTAATCTGTCTTCAGTCCATCTCAGACCCCTAGTTGCAACTCATAACCACTTAAGAGTCCTCTGGAGCAGTCTGAACTTTTCAGGAGAGTAAAGGAGATTCTTAGACTTAACAATTTTGATAACTGATACTTACACTTCAGTCTGAGAGTAGGAGCAAATCTAAGAAATTTTCAGCACTTAAGTCTAAAAATCCACTTTAAGAAGTTTTATAAATACAGGCCCTGATTCTTCTCTGCAGTCTGTGTTTTTAGCTGTTGTAGCAACGCTCGGTTTACATGCAGACATTCCCCTTTGACATCACTTCCTGTTACTTCACAGGCAAATATCTCAACAACTGTTCATCTCAGCAACATGAAATTTCTTTTGCAATATTTTATYAATGTMCTCTTTCTAAAATTGCACTCATATGTATTACAAGAATTTGACGTCACAGGCACTTTAAATATTGGTTTGTTCATTCACTTTTTCAGATTAGATGGGATGAACCTCTGAGATAAATAATAGAATTATCTGTGTTCTTGAACCTAAACGTACTCGTGTCTCTGTGTTGATATTCTAAGTCCTCATAAACTTAACAGGAATTTTCCAGGTTAGGATAAACTTGACGACTTCATCACAGCAGGTTTTAGTTTGAATAATATTAAAGTCTTATTTGGTAGGAGGGTGACGCAGTGGTTAGGTCTTTCATTCTGGACTTTCTGGGTGCAGTTTACATGTTCTCCTTATGCACACGTGCAGATTTCTCTCTCAGATGTGTTTGGTGTACAAGCTATTTGTGCACCATTATTATCACCCACTGCTGAAAGAGGAAAGGAGTGCAACAATGTTTTGGCCYATGTTTGTTTGAACAAGCAAAATACCTGATTAACAACTGGATGAATTTTAATGAAACTTTTAGAAAGTAAACAAAACTGATAAAGTTTGAGTCAATTCAAACAGATAAAGGACTTTAGAAAACAAAATGGCCATGTCAGATGTATAAATATTGAGTTAATATTTGGTGTGGTGGTAGCTGAGTGAGACATTCTCCATGTTGTGCACTTTGCTTATGCTTAACAATAACTGTCGGAGTCAACCATGTTTGTCTGCACACTCTGATGCACAAATGCATGAAGATTGATGCAGAGTGCAAACAGACTGTGTAAGATCTTGTGATATCGCATGACCTGATTCAGAATGTTATCAAGTTTTCATCAATGCTGATGTAAAATCTGTCAAGTCTCAATCTAACATGTTCTTAGTTTAAAACTCTGAAAGGMCACAGGTGATGTTCATCTCTTCAAAGAATGCTAGGCCTTTAATGACGTATAGTGTCCATGTTTTTGAATATTTAAACTTTTTCTTCTTTTATCCATGTGTGCATTTTAATTTGCAAGAATAAAACAAACTAAAGTTTTGTGCAGTACTTGTTTAGTTCTCTTAGTGTTCACACTTCTCCTTTTTATTTTCAGGCATAGTAATGAGCGACGCTGCCGTGTACGAGTCCCTGGAGTCGGCCGGTATTTACGGCAGCCTCGGCACTCCCAGCCCGGCAACTCAGAGAGCGGTCCGCTGCACCGGCAGCACCAGCAGCAGCGCCAGCTTCCTYAGCACGGCCACGGACGACGACCCCCTCTACCAGACCTGCCTGTACCAGACGGATGGGAACGAGGACCGTGAAAACGGGAAAGAGCAGCAGAAGCAGCAGCGCCTGCGACCAACCAGTGAGCTCCTCACTGTGACCAAGACGCAGCTGACCCGCAGCGCCAGCACCCGCAGCTACGTGAGGGGCTCGACCTCATCCTCCGGATCAGGAGAGAAGCAGGGAGGATTCGGCTCGCTGCAAAGGAAACCTAAACAGAAGAGCTTCCGCAGGCGCCTTCTGAAATTCATCCCTGGCTTGAATCGACCGCTGGAAGAGGAAGAGAGCAAACTGTGAGCAGCAAACAGAGCTGTTCGTTTCAACCTGCAAAACAAAACAGAACTAAAGACTGGAAAAAAAAGAAAAACAATGACTGTCAAAAGTCAAGTGCCAAAGAAAGCAGCAAGCAGAGCCAAAGAGTTGGAGACCAAAGTGAATCAGCTGCAGAGACCAATGAACATTCAGTGTTTCACAGATGTACATATGTTTTTCTTTGTCCTTATTTTAAGTTATTTATTTATTTTTACATGTTCTGTTCATCTACAAAATGAACATTTTGGTTTTCTCTGCATGCACGTTTCTCCAGACCATGACTATAACTGTGCAACAAAAAGTTTTGTAAGATATGAGCTTGTTGTCGACACAAGATGACTCACTAAAGGTTCCTACACGTAAAACAAAAAGGTGGCATTTCCAGATTACACACTCCCTTTTTTTTGTAATAAATCATGAGGTTTCTTTTGAAAAGGCAACTAGACTTTTTGTGTTGGAGATATTTTGTTTCTCATTTGAGAGGCTTTCTCAGTTCAGAAGTTCAGACTGGAACGGTTGCAAAGCTTTAAATTGTAAAAAAATATCTTCTGAAGGAATATTTTTGTGAAAGTAAACAGCTAAATTAAAACTGGTTCTCTGGCCTTGAGTGTGCAGTTTGTTCATCCTTTTGTAATTTTTCCAAATTGTTCTCCACTGCTGTTTAGGAACGCTGTCACCCGGAGGTTTGGATGCTTCGCCTCTCTCGGTGCAGAGGTCTGCAGAATGAAGGTTGTCGTGTCGACTCTGACACAGTTTATTGTCGGGAGAAAAGTGAGGAATGTGCGAAGAAAAGCATGACCCAAAATTCCAAACACAGCCACTTTCTTTCAGCTCCTGCTGGCTAACGCCGATTCCTCTCCTCCTCCTCCTCCTCGCTCCCATGGCAGCTTCAGTTGTCCGAGAGCTTGCTGTTTGTGAATTTGTCGGATTGGGGCGGAGGAGGGGGGCTCTGTGAGGTCTTTTCATTCCTGGCTTTCAGCTGACCCATGAGGTCATGGTGGTCACTCTCTCTCTGCAGGCTCTGCAGCGTTGATCCCTTTTGTCCTCCGCTGCTCTTTCACAGATGCCTCAGCAGTGACGATGATGCTGAGCGATGGTATGCAGCCATGTGTCAGCGACCCCCCCCCCCCCCCTCGCACTGTGGTGAAGCAAGAGGGGACCCAGGATTGTTATGCATGCTTGCTGATGCTTAAAACACGGGTTTAGAATGAATGGACCGAGTGTTTAATGATGCAATAATTATTAAAGATGAGTCATTAAAACGGTGGGTGGGGGGGGGTGGGCAGAGCAACAACAGGAATGATCACAGCGAGAGATCACTGCTGAGTGGTTACTGCTGCAAAAACAAGTGGTTCCTTCGTTTTTGCACCAACACGTTGCAGGTTGTCCGCTTTTACAATCTTCATCTGCAGTCACAATATGACAAGACGTTTTATTTGTGCTTCCTTTTAAAAGAAGAGCCACAATTTCTGCTTTACAAACAAGTACAAAATGTGTTTACTATATCAGATACTGCAACATTCTTCACATATTAAGTCATTTGGATGATATAAACTACATGTCTCAATTTTTCTTTTGAAAATTTAGAGTTGACTAAAGGAAAAAGAAGTCAAAGAATGAGCTGAAACTTGAGTTTTTAGTTCTTTATGAGCAGAATACACTCGCCAGTCATTTTATTAGGTACACCTTGCTTGTACTGGGTTGGAGCCTGTTTTTAGTGTTGTAGTACTTGAAACCAGTATTAGTCTTAAAACTAGTCTCAAGACCACTTTTTGATGGTCTTGTTACGGTCTCGGACATTGAGGACTCGGAATTTTATTTCAAGACCACAACTGTGGAAATATAACTAAATACCCAGATTATTGTCCAGTTTATTAGCATCTTTGCTTTCATTGGTTTTAAAACACATACAACATAAAACAGATGTTGGAAATTATGCAAACTGAATCTGTGAAAATACAAAATTGGTTTAAAACTAATAAATTATCGTTAAATTTAGATAAAACTAACTATATGATATTCGGTAACAGAAAGGGAATCATTGATGTTCATTTGAAGTTGATGGTGTTGAGATCTGCAGAATCAGTGAGGTGAAGTTTCTGGGTGTCATTGATGAAAAGTTGACATGGAGACCTCACATAAATTATTTAAGAACAAAAGTTGCTAGATCTATTGGAGTACTGCATAAAGTAAGGGAGTTATTTAATGATAGAGCTCTGAATATGTTGTATACTGTAATAATACTTGTATAATGGTTGTTCCACACTTGTTTTATTGCGTTGAAGTCTGGGGGAAAGCATGCAAAACAATTATAAACCCTATTTTTGTTTTACAGAAAAGAGCTGTAAGAATTATTGCTAGAAAACACTACAGTCACCCATCAAATGTATTATTTTATCAGTTGAAATTATTGAAGTTCTATGAGTTGGTTGATTATAATATTTTACAGGTTACGTACAAGGCTCATAAACGTATATTGCCTTTAAACATCCAATTGAATTTTGTTAAGAGAGGAAGTTGTTAAAATCTGAAAGCGGTAGAGATGTTTGTGAAACCTGGATTTCGAACTAGTTTGAGGGAACGATGTACTTCCACACCAGGAATAAGACTGTGGAACAATCTGGAGAGTGAGGTCATAAAAGCCAGATCAGTGTTTATGTTCAAGAGAATGATAAAGGTCATCTTAAAGAAATATGAAACAATGTAATGTGTATTCATACGAAACGATATTTAATAAGGATTTGAAGTAGTCT